TAGGGAAGGAATGTAAATTGAGTTACAAAAAAAAAAGTTTCAGGAAAATATATATCTATTCAATGACTGCAGTAGAATATGTAGCCCCAGGTAGGTGCTACTTTATAGGATGCGTAAAGTTTGACTTGTGTTCATGGAAATGTGTGTGTCACCTGTGCTTGCTATGAGGGTATTTGGATTGATTACGTTCTTTGGTGATTCAATAAAATGTGGTGGGAAAACGGTATAGAAAGCAAACATAGATACCAGAGACAGTGTGGGAGGAGAGCGGGAGGTGGCTGAGGGCAAGAGATAGGGAATCAAGGATGGGGGGAAAAAAGCAAAACATACAGAAAACAAGAAATGGAAGATCATTTGCTGACAATAACATGTTTTTTGATGTGCTCGATTGAGACAATATACAGTACACTCTGGATGGAAAATCTCATTTTGTATGTTGTAATGTTGTACAGTGAATGAATGCAAATAAATAAATTAAAAAAAAATAAATAACAAAAAAATAACTTAAAGCCTGGGTACAGGTTAGTATTCTGTTCAAATAGTAGGTACAGGAACCTACCCACAGCTCAAGACAGGACAAAAACTCTTAAAACTGGACAACAAAGTCTAGAAGAAAAGCAGCAATATTTCAGTCAAAAGTCACAGAATGCTATTTCACCAGTTCAGTCTCATGTACTTTATCTTCTGTTATGGTTCAATCTTCCTGATTAAATTCTGGGATATAATATTCAACTCCAGATTTGTCCCTATGATCAAGTTGGCCGTTTTCTTAGTTTTTGCACTCTTATTTCTGTGTTTCTGCATTTAATTTTCCTGACATAGCTACTCCCCTGAGAACTTCTTGGAGATCTGGTCTGGTGCTAATAAATTCTTTCAGGTTTTGTTTATCTGAGAATGTTCTTGTCTTTTCTTCCCATATAAAGGATAATCTTGCCAGGTAAGGTATTCTTGGTTGAGATTGCTTTGAATATATTTTCTCATTTTTTCCTCTCTTGCATTATTTCCAAAGAAAAGTCTGCTGTTAGTCTGATGGGATATCCTTTGTAGGTAACTTGCCATTTCTCTCTTGCCAGTCTTAGTATCTTGTCTTTGTCTGTGGTTTTAATCCATCTGGCTATAATGAGTCTTGGAGAAGATCTTCTTCGGTTGATTTATTTGGGGTCCTTTGTATTTCTTGGGACTGGATCTTTGAGTACCTCTCTAGGTTTGGAAAGTTTTCTTGCAGAATTTTATGGAATAGATTATCAATGCCTTTATGAGTCTGTGCACCCTTGGGATGCCAATTATTCAGATATTTGGATTTTTGATGGTATCTAGTAATTCTTGTATATTATTCTCAAGTTTTTTGGAAAATTTCTCAGTCTTCATGGTGGATTTTTCTAGGTCAGGAATTTTCTCTTCTACATCTGAGATTCTATTTTTTGTATGATCTAGTCTGCTCTTAATACTTTTAAGGGAGATTTTGACTTCCTGTATTATAGCCTTCATCTCTAAGAGTTCCATTTGATTCTTTTGTAAAGTGTGTAATTCCTCTTCTAGATCTTACAAGAATTTTCTCACCTCCTGGAACTCATCTTTCTCTTTTCTCTTCTGCAGTTCCTTGTCTCTCTTCTCTTTCATCTCTGTTAGCTTTGCCATTATGAATGTTCTAAATTCTTTATCAGACATTTCCATGATTTCCATTGAACTACCTGTGGATGAAGAAGAGTTATTCTTTTCCCTTGGAGGAGAGGTATTTTTTGTTTTGTTTTGTTTTCTCATATTTCTTGTGTCCCTGCTGTGATTTCTAGTCATCTGATGGATGATGTGTTTCCTCCCAAACTTGAAGTTCATTCTGAGCTTCCAGAAGCATGTAGAAAAGGAAATAGAGAGAGAAACAACAGCAACAAAAACAACAAGGAAACAGAAATAAAGAGAAAAAAGCTAAAAATAAATAGAGAAATAAATTATTTTTTAAAAAAAGAAAAATTAGAAAACCACATGGCGCACTTGTACACAATGTGAAATCACTAGTTCTTAAGAACCCTGAAGGTGTCTTCTGAAGGCTTGTTCCCTTGCCTCTCCTGGGTTGGGAGGGGTAGAGGGGATTATTATTAAAATAAAGGGAAAGGAGGAACTGAAAGCCAAGAAAATTCTTTACCTTAAAAACTTTTAAAAAGGAAAAATTGCAACAAAAGAGAAGACAGAGATAGAGATAGAGACAGAGACAGAGACAGGAGGCTTGAAAGGCTTTCTACCACTCGAGTTTGTGGGCTGGAGGCTGAATTATCAGTGGAAAATCTTTATTTCTCTTATTCCTCTGAAATCACTAGTTCTCAGGAGCCATAAATGTGTCTTCTGAAAGCCTGTTCCCTTACCTCTCCTCCATTCTGAGAGTTGTTGATTCACACTAATTATGGTGTCCTTTGTTGTGCTGAAACTTTTTAATCTGATGTAATCCTACCTATGTATTTTGGAGATTATTGCCTGTGCTTTGGGGATCTTGCTTAAGGAGTCTTTGCCTACCCCAGTGTCTCCCAGAGTTTCCTCAGTGTTTTTCACCAGTAGTTTTATAGTTTGTGGCCTTAAATTTAGATCTTTGATCCACTTTGAGTTGATTTTTGTTAATGTTGACAGACAGGGGTTCAGATTCATCTTCATGTGGGTGGATACCCAGTTTTTCCAGCACTACTTGCTAAAGAAGTTTTTCTTTTCCCACTGGGTTGATTGAAACCCTTTTTCAAAGATCAGTTGGCTATATGTTTTGGGGGTTATTTCTGGGGTCTCTATTCTGTCCCATTGGTTTTCATGTCTGTTTTTTTTGCCAGTACCATACTGTTTTGATTATCACAGCTTTTTAGTATATTTGGGGGTCAGGAAGAGAGGTGCCATCCACTCCACTCTTCTTATGTAGGATGGATTGGCAATACGTGATCTTGTATGATTTCAGACAAATTCTATGATTGTCTTTTCTAGACTGTGAAGACTGTCTGTTGTAAATTTACAGGGATTGCATTAAATATGTAGATTAATTTGGGTAGGATTGCCATTTTTATTATATTTATTCTCCCTGTCGATGGAAAAATATAACCAACTGTAAAATTAATAATTAATAATTAATACGGTTTATTTCTAAGCCAACTGTGTGACCTAGGCCAGAGAAGAGGCACACATGCCTTTTATCAGGGTGATCATGTACAGAGGTTCCTTTTATTTGCTTTTGAGATTGACAGACAAAATTTAATTAAAAGATTTCCCATTAGTCTCGCCCAAAAAGGCGGGACATGTAGAAGCGGGGGCTTGTAGGTTATAGGTGGGTTCCACAAATTCTTAGGTCGGTGATTGGAAGGGAAGATCCCTGTCTTGGGAAGAGATTAGTTAAAGAAAGGCTTAATCTACATCTTAAGGAAAAGGGAAGTACAGTGTTTTGGGAAGAAATAAGCAAAAAAAATACACTAATCTGTTGAAATATACATCTCAAAGAGACTATGCCAGGGACAGGAGGTAGGAAGAATCCTGTTAATAGAAAGTAAATGGTCTGTTAAAGTTTGTGAGCATGACTTCCCCAATCCCCTTTGAAAAGATTTTGGAAAAATAGGAAAAGTAGTCAGACTTCTGTCCACATCCCAATCCAGGGAGATGGGGTCTCCTTTTTCTTTATTATGTCTTTTAAAAATTTTTTTAAAATACCTTCATAGTTTTTCTTACAGAAGTCCTTAACTTCCTTGGTTAGTTTTATTCCTAGGTATCTTATACTTTCTTTAGCTACGGTAAATGGGATTATTTTCTTCAGTTCTATTTCTGTCTTTTTTTTTTTTTTTTGTATATAAAAATGCTATAGATTTTTGTAAGTTAATTTCGTATCCTGCCACTTTTCTGTATGCATTCATTATTTCGAGAAGTTTCTTTGTGGATACTATTTTGTCTTTTTTTTTT